TCGCCTGGTTTTGTTGTTATTCATAAAAATAAATATGGGAGTTGTAGTAAATTCCACATGGTTTATAAATTTTATATGTTACCACAAAAATCGATTGCTATTATAGACAAAGTAACAGTAAATGTAGAAGATGAAACATATAGTTGGATAAAATGCAACACCCATAATAAAATGGATGGGAAAGTAGTGGAAATTTTTTTTTATATTTATTTATTGACGATAACAACGTTTGCGTGCATAGGAGATAATACAAGCAAACCGTACTGTTATTCTTGTGATCTTGTGTAAGTTAATTGTCCGTTGTTAATGGTTCAAACATCCAAACCGTACCAAACCATTTGTAAGTTGGGTCTCGTCTGGTTAAACCGCGAATATCCGTTCACATGTGAATGCATTCGCTCATGCATTTACGTGGGCCCACAATTTATTTTGGTTACAAACTATAATCGACGTCCTTCAAAGAGGAAAAAAAATGTAACAGACGTGAGAAAAATGTTAAAGATTGATTTGACAATTTAATAAGGTGTCTAAACTTAATTGAGGAGATAGAAGAAACTCTCAATAATTATTCTTCTATTGTTTTCCTCATAAATGTAGAATACAATTATGCTGCAACATGGATAAGTATAACGTAGAGTGCCCTAATTTCCAACTATCTGCCTCCCACTAAGCATGCCCACCAAACTCAAAAGCATATTTTTATATAATTGAGTTGGTAGAAGGCACCAATCCTCTAGTTTTGTGCACTCTTGAGGATGACCTTTGCTTACAAAGGACCTTGCAAGAAGATTACGTGTCATGGGCCAGACTGGCCTGCAGATAGGTTGCAGGCAAGTTCCCATGGGATAGTATACAGAGGATAAGTCCCTGTTTTGTACAAAGCTCAATAATTTAATAAGTATTAATTGGAATTCTACATGATTAAACAAACACAGATTGATTATTTTAAAGGGCGGGAATGATGATTTTTGAGCTTTTTTGCTCCATGGGGCTGTGATAAAGTGGCCAACATATGGGCCCAGAAGGCCCACTCCTTGCATTGGTATTGGGAATTGGCACGAAGCTTGTGAGTGAGCCAACCTGCGACGCGGCTGTATCCAAATCTTTTATTATTATTATTTTTATTTTATAGTAAAGACTAAAGAGAGATACAGAGAGAATCCACCCATGCAACTGTTTACGTTAAGATGACGTTTGGTTTATAGATTCAGAATCATAATTTAAAATTATTTTTAATTTATGTGTATTTTTATAACGAGTTACGAACCATGGTACAAATTCTTGAACCAAACACACTCTTAATTTTTATATATCAAATCTATATTACGTGAGTTTCTTTTCACAAATTTAAATCATAATTTAACCTTTTTGTTAAAACATTTTCTTTTTACAAAATTTTGAATTTCAATTTAAGTTTAGAATGCCCCCTAAATACTGTAAGCCTTTGAATCCTACAATTTTGCTTTATTTTTGGTGGGTGCTGTTCACTATTTTAAATACGGTCTTTGAAAAATATGAATTATCTTATTTTGCTCAATATAATCAAAACAGAACAAAATTCTCATTCAAGTTTATTATAAATTGTAACTCTAATTCTATTCGACAGAGGAGCCAAAAAAAAAAATTAGTAAGAAGGGGTGGAGATGTATACTAAAATTGTCTCTGCCTACGTTTCTACCACTAGTTGTCAAATTTTTAAACGATTTTAATCATGTGTTGGTCACCTAATAAATAAATATAATTAAAAATGCTAAAAAATTATTGCATCAATAATAAAATTATCAACGTTACAGTTTATAATAAAAGAGTGAGTTTTGTGTCATTTTGAATTAATTATAAAGGAAAACTCATATTCTTTGGATCAAATATAAAATCAGCCCCTTTTCCCCAGTGTTGTCTTATTCAAAATCAAATGTCAAATTTCTTTGAATCTTAATCAGCAAAAAGAAATGGAATTTGTCTGTTGGAAAAGGCTAACACTATAGCACTGCACTTTTATAAGGCACCTATGACAGATTGTGGGAACAAATCAACGGGAGTTAAAGCAATCAATAGAAGATACTGCCAATGTCATTGGCTGAATCACATTCGGATTCTCAGAACTTTTTTTTTTTTTTTTTCTTTTTTTTTTTTTCCCATCCTTTACTAGTTCCTAGTTTCAATTTGCCCTTATCACACATAAATAAGAGGAAGTTTTCCTTTAAAGTTACAATCATGTACCAGTATATGTATTAGTGATATTAAAGTCTATGCAAATCTATAAATCAAGATTCGAGAATCAAGATATAATCTAATATGGATATTGGATTGTACATAATAATATTACTTTGTCAAGCTTATCATTTACATAAACCTTCATGGGCAAACCTGCTTTGTCTAGATTATTCCTTGTAATTATTAAGCTTAGATTTGTTCCAGCTCCAATTTGCAGTGTGAAATTGATGTAGACTAGAAGAGACTTTTCCTTGCTGTCGATAGCACCAAGTCAAGTGGAAGCTTTAATATTTTTTGCCAGAGAATTGGGACCAGCTAATAATTGGTCTAGAGGGTATCAACTTAAACTCAATTTGGTGCACCAATTTGAATGATTGGCATTTTGGCTTTATTGAAGCTCCAAAAAATGCCATCTCAATTGCCACCTCTTGGGGACAGTTAGGCTTCTAATTAATGCTGTGTTCTAATGTTTCCATCAGTTTTTTTTTTTTTTTTTTTTTTTAAAAAAAAAAAAAAAAAAACCCCACTCCTCTCAATGTGGGGAAGTTGAGTTGTGCATGTTATCCATATTATTATTTGGCTCCAACCACCCACATTTCTCATATTTTCACATATGTTAATGCTGATTTGTTCTTTTTGCAAGCTAAAAAAGATATATCATTATTAGGATCTTTTTTTTTTTTTTCATTTAGACCTTGAAATTTCTCTCTTCCTTGTTTGGCCCATAGACAAAATCAACTATCATTATTTTACTGCCATTTCCCGATACAGGTATATCATTTTTGGGGGGTTGCTCACTGTACCAAGAGGGCAGTTTCATATAACAGTTGATATTTATTATATACAACAGAAAACACCATTGTAACTGACGGTTTGGACATTCTTGAAAGCATTGTCTCTTTTTATAATTGCTTAGGTGGCGTGAAAGAATGACATGTTAGAATGTTTCCCAAAAAATAAAAAATAAAAAAAGAGAAATTTTCGTCACTTGGTTTTCATTATTCCATAACCGAAATAAGTTGACAAAGCAAACAAAAGCGAAATCAAAACCAACTGATGTGATTTTAATGCTCTAGCCTCTAAACCACAACTTATATTAGTTAGTACCAACTCCTCCTGAAGAGCCATTCTCAATTAATAAATAAAATGTTTGATCTTATTAGAGTATTATTATTTGTTGGGGTTCATCAATAGCCAAAATTTGGAACCAAAAGTTTACATAATCATTTTAAGCCAAAAATGCCCAAAATAGGAAGATAAAATTGAAATTCCCCAAGTGATTGAGGAGCAGATACTTCCAAACACCATCCACGGTCTATAGGGGTGTCCTTATTCACAAAACACTATATCCAGAGTCCCATTCTGGGAACCAGGTTAATATCCTGTTCCCAATTTGGTACACTGTCGATTGCAACATGGGGCGGGCGCTATATGAAAGATTCGACCCCAAATTTCAATTTCCATTTTTGCCCCTATGTGGGACCCCTACCACTTCTTTAGCTAAAAAAAAAAAAAAAAAACCTTAGTATACGATTCCCGCGTTGGGCAGCGGTTTCACCGGATATACCGTACTGCCTCCTTACTTTCCCAAAACACAAGTTATTTATTTTGGAGTTGTTTAGCTCAGAGATTCGTATTCCGATTTGAATTATAGTTCGTGGTTTGTTATAGTATTTTTTTTTATAAAAAAATACTTAAATTAAAAATAATTCTAATCTCATAATTTTAATTCATGAACCAAACGTCTCATTAATTTTTTTTTTGGCACGTACCAAACTAATTACTAAATACAAGTCTTGAACAGTTATAACTTCGCTTAAATTTGTATCAAATTAAATCCATTTTTTAAGTAAAATTGAATGTGAATTTTTTTTTTTAATATTTCATTAGTAGATGCAAACTTTTTTTTTATAGGTGATGAGAAGGAGGACGAAACGATGTACATGTGAATTCGAGTTTTTCTAATTGAATTTAGAATTTGAGTTTTTCTACAGTAAAAAGCTCTCACAAACAATCACATCTAACTTTTTTGCTACAGTAAAAAGCTATTATATAAAATCACATCTCAACTCGAATTATAAACTCGAATCAGCAAAATGAACGTGGCCATAATTAATTAAAAATAAATGATATGCACCATTTATCTTTGGTAAAATTTTTTATAAAAAATTTATGTATTCTTATTCTCCTTGAGTACTCTGAGAAAAGGGAAAAAATTTCCATGTCCATTATTAGCGCAGCAATACAGCACTCTAATCTCATTTTTTTTTATAATTTATTTAAAAAAAGAAAAAGAAAAAAAAGGGAATAAGAAGAATGCGAAAGTGCGTTTGAAACTCATTTTAAAATAATTTTATATTTTTTGTATAAAAATAAAAATAAAAATAATTTTAATTTTAGACAGAAATTATTTTTGAAAATACATTTGGTAGTTTTATCAAAAGATTATTTTTAATATAAAAAATTTATTAATATCTCTATCCATTTTTCTCTCCTCGAGAGAGTAGAAAATGAAAATAAAAAATAAAAAATGACTAAAAGTCATTTTTTATTTTTTTCATATTTTATACTAAATTAAAAAATTATTTTTATTTTTATTTTTTATCTTTATTATGTTAAATGTTATTTTAAAAATATTTTTATTTTTTTATTAAAAAATGTGAAAAATAAAAACATGATCAATTTTAAACACTGTGGAGAGTCCTTTTTGGTCATTTCGCCAGTTTGCCTTTTCATCTCCTTTCGTCGTTGTTCTCCTTCAGAGTTCTGACTATGCAGCGGAGCCTCTGTCTAGATACAGAGAGAGAGAGAGAGAGCGAAAAGAAGCGAAGAAAATTGTGACGCTCGAGAAAAAGGCGAAACCCTAGAAACTCCATTTTTCCAATGGAGAACCTCTCGTATTCTCGGCATCCAAACAGGGCGCTGTCTAAGAAAATTTGCGGCAATGCCGGTGGTTTCCCGGCGGGTGCGGCGGTTAAGAATCTTTACGACGACGTCTATGGAGGTCCTCCGAAGTTCGGCGTCTCAAATCTCTCTCCTCGAATGGAGGACTACAGCGAGATTTTCGGGAGCTTCCAGGCGTCTCGAGCCTCGTCGATTCCGGTGTTGGATCTTCCGGCGGTCGACGAAGCCGAGGTTGTTTTCGATGTCCGGAGCTCTAGTTTCGACTACGTCGAGGTCTTTGGCGGCTTCAAAGGACTAGATTTCGCCGTCTCGTATGAGGAGTTGGTTGATCAATCCAAGGACGGGGATGGTAACTCCTCTGACGAGGCTTGGTACGATCATGTCTTCAATTGCTTCAAATTTCTTTCATTTTGTTAAATTCTGAAGTAAAATGTCCGAAACTGTATTTTACTGAAAATTGGTAAAAGAAAAAAAGTTTTTTGGACCTTTTGTTTTCTTCCTTGTACAGAAAAAAAAAAAACAAAAAATTGTTGTGTTATTGTTTTTCGAGGGTTTGGATTAATAATTTAGGAAGCTTAGGTGAAACAACGCTCATGTCTTTGAGCATTTTGGGGAAAATACAGTGTATTTTTGCGAGGGACTAGAGTCAAACCTTGGTGACCAGCACCACTGTTGTATAAAGCTATTTCTCCTAAGCCACCAAGCTGCTTTCTTTTTTATTTTCATTTATTTTTTTAATAACAAAACTTGAGAGATTGACAAAGAAGTTTTGTTTAAATTATTTTAATTTTTTTTTCTTATGTTGCTGTTGTTTAGATGAAATTATTTGATAAATTTAGTATGCAGTATCAATGTGTGTAATTGGGTTTAAAGATGAAATTCTGCGAGGAACCGTGTGTGTTTGTGCTTGGAAAGATCGAGTTATTGATAATGTTTATCCAAATTCTTGATTGAAATGAGAAGTAAGATTCAGCCAGTAATTTCAGTTGGGAACTGTTCCTCAAAGCACTTTTTTTTTTCATTTTTTTAATCTTAAATCTTCAACTAAGACTAAGAAGCATAATTTTATCCTCGTTTATAACCATGTGTATTTCTGCATTAACTTAATATTGTATTTCCGTTTGAAAGAATTATTTTATTATATGTTTGTTTGTCACATCAAATTTGTGATGTTAGACTTTTTTTGTCTTGCTTCATCATTCATAGGTCTCCTGCAGAATATGAATCTCTGTCAGAAGGGTCGGATAGTTCGGGTAGGGATCAATGCTTTTCAAATGGAGGTCCTGAACACTCATTTGATGGCACTACGGAGTTCAGCATATCATATCATAAAGCTAATCAAATAAGCAGTGAAGATGTAGCGAGTGGAATGACACGTGTTGCTCAGCTTCATGCTGTTCCTGGCTTCACTTACATGGTCGATTCACCATTGCAACAGACAGAAGATAAGAAGGCATCCTTGCAGGTGACTGATGATAGTAATCTCAATATGGATTTCAGTGTTGACGTGATGAAGGCTAAGCATCTCAAAAAGACAATGTCACACCCCCAAAATGTTAGGTTCGGTGGACATGCATATGAAAATGATCTTAGGCCTCAAAAAGAATATGGAAAGAATGGTTCTTCTCATAGTAATGCGTTTGTAGGTATATCGGGGATCAGCCTTCGAACTCAACCATCTGAACTGCCACCACCCTCTCGACCACCACCTGTAGTAGAAGGCAAGAAGGGATTTTCCAGTAAATTGGTTTCACACCGTAACACTCTTGATTCTGAAGGAATCTCAGGTGATAGTTCGCCACCTTTCTTTGATGTGGAGGTAGATGCCAGTTCATCTGCCGCAGCCTCTGCTGCAGCTATAAAAGAAGCAATGGAGAAAGCTCAAGCAAAGCTAAAAAGTGCAAAAGAATTAATGGAGAAGAAAAAAGAGGGTCTTCAAAGCAGCCATAAATCAGGTTCAAGAAGGGATATGAAAGATAGCGAAGGAAAGACACGTAAGATTCTAGATGGATCCAACAAAACTAAAGATGAGAGATTGAAGGGCACTAATGAAAGAGAAGACAATGGAATAAATGTGCTTGTCCGGGAGAAGCAAAAGGTGAGTAAGTCAGCCCTTGAAGTTCCAGAGTTTTTAGGAGGAGAAAACGCTTCCATTGCTGCTGGAAAATATGTGGAAGACAAGCCTGAGACAGAATCTTGGTCATCAAGAGGATCTCATAAAGTTGGTGAAGCTAGTGAATGGAAAGAAGCAACAGATTTTTTTGAATTAGTTACAACTGATGAATCCAAGGTTTTTGAGCAGGCAAATACTAAGAAAATATTTGTACAGAATGTAATAATTCATGAGCTTGAGCAGAAGAAGGTAGCCTTGGATTCATCTGAGAAGCAAGCAAAAAATGAAAGTAAAGAGAAACCAGCTAGAAAAGATGATGAAGTGGAGGCGTTTGAGGAGAAACAGAAAGGAGCAAAAGAACCCTGCAGGCATGAAGAAAACAGTGTAAAAGCAATAGCAGCTAAGGAGGCAATTGAGCACAAAGATCATGAAAAGAAGATCAAAGTCGCCCATGAAGTTTGTGAGAGGGGAGAAAACAAGAAGAGTTCCAAGATGGCCAAGCATATTGTGGACAAGCGAGTAACTGGAGCTGATCAATCAGTTAAGGAGAAAGAAACTAAGTCCAAACCTGAGAAGGCTATAAACCAGAAGGAGAATGAGAAGAAATTAATGGAGGCTGAAAAAATGATTGAACTTGAGAAAAAACAGAAGTTGTCCCATAAAAAGTTAGACAGTGAAGAGAGACAAAAAGAGGCTTTAATAGAAGGAAGAAATGAAAATAGTTTCAAAGTTGCGTTTGAACAAGCAGAAAATGGGATAAAGGTGCCTAAGGTTCTTGAACAGGAAGAAAATGAAAAGTGGTTAAAGGAGATTCTTGACAAAGTAGAGAGTGAGAGGAGGCAGAAGGGAGCTTTCTTGCATCAGGAGAATGAAACGAGACTGAAAGAGTCCCTTGAACAGGAGAACAGCAAGAAGAAACGGACAGAAGTTCTTGATCTGGAAGAGAAAAAACGTGAAGAGATATGTCAAAGAGAAGAAAACAAGGAACGAATTAAATCCGTTCGTGGAGAAAAAGAGACTGGGAAACACATGGTGGTCTGTGAGCAAGTAGATAGTGGAAATATATTCACAGAGGCTCAGGAGGAAGAAGAAATAGATACAAAACTGTGTGAAGCATCTAAGCAGTTAGATACTTTCAGCATGTTGAAGGAGGTTCTTGAACAGGTAGGGACTAAACAGATGCCAAAAGATAGTGTTAACCTGGTAGACGAGAAGGGACTAGACAAGGGACATGGAGGAACGCAGAAGGATGAATATTGCGAGGACGTAAAATTGGCGAAACAAACTCAGGTGCATGTGGAGGGGGAGGATCTCATCCAATCTGATAAGGCACATAAGCTGGATTCTAGTAAGAACAAACAACCGACACAATTATCTCATGACCATGATGAAAACAGTGGAAAGGTGAAAACACCTCAAGAGGCCCATGCTCGTGAAGAAAAGAAAGATATAAAAGCTGATCCACTAAATACTGAAACCAAACCAGCAGCTGGAAGAAAAACTGAGTCCATTGATGAAAATTTCAAAGCATCCAGCATCAACAAACAGGACCAGTTAAGAATGGAAGATGGCAAAGAGGCCCTTCCTTTGAGGGGCAGTGTGAAGAAAACAAGTGGAGAAATGAAGATTATACCTAAAGTAAGTGAAAAGGAGTCAGTGGCATTTGAGATAGCAAATGTTTTGGTTGGTGAAAGATTAAAAGCATTTGGAAAGTCACAAGAAAACTTACCACATGCAAAGAACCCGTACAAAGTGGAATCTGAGTTGCCTCTTGTAGATAATCAAGTAACGAAGGCAGGAGAAGCTAGCCCAGTCGTTGGAGAACCGAACATTGAGAAAATTAAGAGTTGCTCACAGGTGGGCTCTGTTTCTGACAATCAAGATATAGAATTTGCTCACAAGTTTAAAGAGACAGGAGAAGATTGCATCCAGGTCCAAGTTTCCTTGAATAAGGAAGAGAAGGAGAAAACAGTGCCAACTCAAGCAGTGAAAGAGAGCATTGAAGACAAATGGAAAACTGAAGCAGCTCAGCCTCCTAGGGCCGAAGAGAAGCAGAAGAACCAGAAATCAGATCAGCAGGTTAATGCAAGCCATAGTACGGAGAGAACGGAGAAAACATCTGGAGAGGTAGAAACTGAAAGGCTGAAAAGAGAAAGAGAGCTAGAAAATGAAAGACTCAGAAAGCTAGAGGAAGAGAGGGAGAGGGAGAGGGAAAGAGAAAAGGATAGAATGGCTGTTGATCTTGCAACCCTTGAAGCTCGAGAAAGAGGGTTTCCAGAATCCCGTGAGAGGGCAGAAAAAAAGAGTGTTTCCAGAATCCCGTGAGAGGGCAGAAAGGGCTGCTGTGGAGAGGGCAACAGCTGAAGCTCGGCAGAGAGCAATGATGGAGGCCCGTGAAAGACTAGAGAAGGCATGTGCAGAGGCGAGGGAGAAGTCGTTAGCAGGAAAGACAGCTATGGAGGCTCGGATCAGGGCTGAGCGTGCTGCAGTAGAGAGAGCAACTGCAGAGGCTAGAGAGCGTGCTGCCGAAAAAGCAATGGCTGAAAGGGCTGCTTTTGAGGCTAGGGAACGGGTACAAAGATCAGTTTCTGATAAATTCTCAGCTTCCTCCAGAAATAATGGAATGAGACGAAGCACCTCCTCCTCTGTGAGTGATCTTTTATCTGCTGGATTCTCTTCTCTTTAGAGTAAAATTCATATTCCCTCAAAACAATCTAACATGAATGTTACCTTGCAGGATCTACAGGACCTTCAATTTCAGAGTTCAGGGCTTCCAAGATATCAATATTCTTCAGTTTATGGTGGTATGTAAATCAGATTTAGTTAGTTGCTGACTTTGAAGTCTTTCCATTTTACATTAGCTTCAATTTCCTTGAATGTTTGTGTTGATTTTTGCAGAGAGGTATGAAGGAGTTGAGGGCGAATCAGCTCAAAGATGTAAAGCTAGATTGGAGCGGCATCGTAGAACAGCTGAACGTGCGGTACGGGATGTTAAATATTTACAGTTTTTGAGACAGTTTGTAACTGTATTTAACTTAGTCACACCAAGTTTTTCATCTGTTCCAGGCAAAAGCTCTTGCAGAGAAGAATATGCGTGATCTTCTTGCTCAGCGAGAGCAAGCGGAAAGAAATGTAACAAACTTTGCTGCACTAAAGATTGTGGATTCGAATTTCGTTTATGTTTCTCACTGATTGAATCTGATTTAATTTTATTTGCAGAGGTTAGCAGAAACTTTGGATGCTGATGTGAGAAGGTGGTCAAGTGGGAAAGAAGGGAACTTGCGTGCACTGCTTTCGACTTTACAATATGTGCGTGCTATTGCATTCTTATCTCTATAGGGATGGTTTATAATTATTTTCTGAGCATTCCTAAATTCCCTCTGAAATTTGTTTGCGCTCTTGCGTTTTCTTCAAATGAACATTCTTCTTTTTTCATCGATCAACAGTGGTTGATTAAAACAATCTCTCTTCACTTGCAGATCCTGGGGCCAGATAGTGGTTGGCAGCCTATTCCGTTAACAGAGGTTATAACTTCTGCGGCTGTTAAGAAGGCTTACAGGAAAGCTACTCTTTGTGTTCACCCTGACAAATTACAACAGCGCGGTGCAAGTATTCAGCAGAAGTATATATGCGAAAAAGTCTTTGATCTTTTAAAGGTAACATCGATTTCTTTCATAGGTTGCATACTATAGGTCTAACTAAAAAGAACGCGTTATTTCCTATATTGAACATGTTTTAAGTTTATGAGTATTAGACAAGATTTGGGCCTTTTGCTTTGTGGTTTGTGCTGCTCCTTTTATGTTGCAAAACTCATAAACAAGATATTGCAGCGGAATAGAGTATCGGCTAGTTAATTCATAAGCACTGCACTGTTCTGTCACTTACATCTTCCATTGGTCTTGTATTTGCTCCAGGAAGCTTGGAACAAATTCAACTCTGAAGAGCGG